ATAGAAGAAAAAATTAGCTGAAATCACCCGACTGCTAGCTTTGCAAGCGCTATGAATGTAATTTTCCGGTTCAGCTTTACAAAAACTGCTGTAATTTAATATTTCTTCTAATAAAAAGGTACTTATTCTAGTTTTTTCGGTATAATTTTTTAATTCTAATTATTTTACTGGAACAAAGTTTATTAGAATTTGGAAAATCGTTAATAAATCGTTAACAATTTTTACTATTTACTGTTTTTGGATTTCGTTTTTGGTAAAATTGATTTAAAGTCCAGCATTAGTTTCACTCCTCGCTCTGCCGTATCATTTATCAATGTTGGATTATATATATATTATATATAACGGATTATATGTTAACACATGTCACCCATTAATAGTTTAATTTATTGTAATTTTTTTTTTTTTTTTATTTATATTTAAAAAAAATGAAGAGTTTAAATTTACAACAACTAGTCATATTGACTAACAAGAGGGTTTTTTTATCACAAGTAAGTTTATCTAAGTCTATCTAGGGTGAGCATATAGATACGAACTAGTCATCTCCTTGCTGGTTGAAACGCCTCAAAAGGTCATTAGGTTTGAAGCGGCATAAGCGTCTGTGAGTGACATCACAAAGTAGCGCTGGAATGGTGCTGTTTAAGTGTTGTCTCAGCCTGTCATAGTGTTTTTTAGCAGCCTTCTGAATTTCTTGCTTGACAGTAGATATTTCAAGGTCACGATGTAGATCAGAATTTCGCACGTACCACGGAGCGTTAACTGCATCCCTGATTGCTTTGTTTTGAAATCTTTGCATCATATCTATTACATGTTTTTTCGCACAACCCCAGATTTGGACACCATAGAGCCAGACCGGCTTGAAGACTTGTTTATAGATCATAAGCTTGTTTTGCTGAGATAATTTAGATCTCCTTCCAATAAGCCAAGTTAACTTTTTGTATCTTAATTTATTGTAATAATGTGTTTAATATGTTCTCATATCTAGCGTTTAAAAAATTGATTCCTCTTTTTTATATTACCGCCACTGGCATATTTTTCTATAAACAATGATTGTTAGGTGATGTGGCACTGCGACCGTTGGGTCTATTGTGCCCTAATCCATGATGGATTGTGGAAATTTCATGCATTTCCAATAGGAATATGACTCCAGCCTAATGATTAAAACCAAGCAATAAAGTTGGATTTTTGGTAAAAAATGCATGATTTTTAAAAAATTTTGCACCAAAATCTAAAAAAATATCAATATTTTTGATGAAAGTCAAAAATATCTTATTTGGTTTTGAAATATAAATGGCGGTTTGCCGCCTGCCTTTCTTCTACTCCGTATCTGGCGCTGTGGAGATTTACGTTTATGTTAAAATAACTGAATTTTTGGTAAAAAACCAACAACTTCTAATGAAAGTAATATGGAAAAACTGTGCATACGATTTTCTTAATTTTGATCAATTTGGAAAGGTCATAATTTGTCTTTAAAGGAAAAATAATTTCATTGCAATCGAACTTTTACACACGATGATGTATGAGTTGGAGTTAAGTAAGGGAAATAAAAGGATTATTTTTACCAGTTTTTTATGAGAAATGGAAAATACTCGGTTGACGTTTTAAAATTGTATTTTGTGAAGTATTTCTCAGCATTTTGCATTTTTTACTTTTTTCAAATGTGTGATCTAGAGGGAGTTAAGATATATATTGATTTTTAACATGATTTTGTGCGAAGTTCACATATACGATTTTTCTAATTTTTGCTTTAATTGAAAATTTGTTTTATTGCCTTTCAAATTTATGTACGTGCATGTCAATCGAACTCTTATATGTTTTTTAATAATTTTTTAAGTAAAAAAGTCAGTCTTTAAAAAATTTGTTATTTTATTTTTTGAATATCTTCGCTACTACGCAACATTCATTTATGAGATATATACCAAATGAAAGATAATTGAAGTTTCTATCTAAACAACATTTTTATTTGGTAAAAAATCTTAAATTTAACTAATTTTGACAAATTAATTAACTTAGAAAAAATTCGTGTTCCAATTCCCGTTTGGTCCTCCGGCGTCCCACAGTGCGACAAAACAAATATTAGGCGGTCAAAATTCGATATATGGGTCATTCCTTTACAACTCGGACACCTTTTTGACATCATGATCTCCGATTTGTCTGAAATTTTTTTTATAAGCTCCTTTCATAAAATAAGAAGACCCGTATTTCGGGAAAAAATTTTGTGATTTTTTTCCTAGGACATATGGACCCATAGGGTTTTGAGAATTGGCATAGTAAACACATTTTCAAATGGCTATATCTCAAGTTCTATAAAAGGTAGAAACTTGAAACTTACAGCGTTTCAAAGATAATTGATTGAACTTTTATGAAATTGTTTAATCAATTAAAATTGTGTATATTTAAGTACTAATATTAACTATTAAATTTCAAAAAAAAAAATTTTTTCTCAAAACTAAGCTAAATTTTCATATTTTATATTTTATTTAGATTCAGTTTTATATTTTACTATGAAATAAAAATTGTCGAGATACCATCTTTTTTTGAAATTTTTTAATATTTTTTTTTCTCCCGCAAAACACATCAAGCACATGCGTACTACATTTTCATTGAATGAATTTTCAAAGATAATACTACATATATTCTTATATAATATTTTTGATTTCGATTAGTAATAAAATTCTACATAAAACCCAAAAATTTCAGGACGATATTGTAATTAGAAGTACTTTTAAAAATTAATTTATCCTTCATATCACACCAAACACATACACACGATTTTTCAGTAAAAAAAAAGGCATATGTCACACAAATTTTTTTTTTTATTTTTGATTCAAATTAATATATAAATTCTACTTCAAAAATAAATATTTCCATTGTGATATTCATTTTAGAATTAAAAAAAATTAATTAATCAGGCGTCCTTCACATTGCTCATACGCACCATAGCACCATTAGATCAATTTTCGAAGAAAAACTATACAAAAATGTTTACTTTTTATTTCTTAATTAAATGTATACATAAAACATAACCTTTTAAATTAGTTCTGCATCATTTTTGTTTTTAAATGATGAATTTTAACATAATTAAACCATTTAATAAACTTTTTTCTTATATAGATGAATTAAAAAGTTAATTAGTTTCATACTAGCCGAACTACCTAGAAAAGTGCAGCACATAATCACACCTACCTTTTTCGGTGAAGTGTTATTTTGCTACAGTTGGAAAAATATTCTGCCCAGGTAAGGAATATTGAGGAAATAAACTGTAAATTATTCGATATGCCAATTCTCAAAACCCCATGGGCCCATATCTCCTAGGAAAAAAATCACAAAAAAAACCCGAAAAGGAGCTCATAAAAAACATTTCAGCCAAATCGGAGATTATGAGGTCATTTTTTGCCAAAATCCGTCCGGTTTGTAAAAGAATCATCCATATTCGGAAGAGTGTAATATGCAATTTTCTTAAAAACCCTTCAAAGTATGCGAATTATATGAAAGGTCACACCCAAAAGGCCGCGTACTGCAGAGCGGCGAATAGTACGAGGAGCTTTACATTTACAATTTACAATTAAATGCATACAATTAAATGCCGATATTGTCCGGGGAGTTTTACGTAAAGCTAAGCATCTAAAAAGATTAAAATTAAAAAAAACACCGCTAAATAAATAAAGATTCTCGTCAAGTCAGATGAAAAACGTTTCAATTCGGATAGACCTGATGGTTCTAATTACTATTTTCATGATATTCAAAAAGAGAACACTTCCTGTCCCACCACCGCAGCTGTGAGAAAGTTGTTATGATATGGGGCAACATATCATATTATGGAACATGTAAGCTGCAAGTTGTCTCCTCTAAAATGAATGCAATGCATTACAAAGTCCTGCTTGAGAAAGCGTTTCCTGATGTAAACAACATTTTCCAACATTGGAAAACAACATTGGACTTTCCAGCAGGATTATGACCAAATCCATACAGCTCGTATAGTACAAAGTTGGATTTGGCAGAAAAATGTAATTTCACTGGACTAGCCACCTTATTCTCTTGATTTGTATATAATCGAGAATGTATGGGGATGGCTGACAAGAAAAGTGTATTAGTGTGGAAGACAATATGAAGACATACATTAACAGATGCCATCAACACAGTCTGTAGCGAAGTATTTTTAAATTACATCAAGGCACTATATGACTCTCTTCCTAATAGGATGTATGAAGTCATTTCCAAAAATTGTGGCTCCACACATTATTAAAATAATTTAATTATGAACATTAATAATAAGTATGCCTTAAAATTCACGAAAATTTAGTGATCATCTCTTGATCACAGAGCTCGCGAAAAATAGGAATATTTAAAAAAAACTATATTAATTTGAAAAAAAATTTTTTTTATATCAATACAAACTAAACAAAAAATATTTGTCTATTGGTTTACTTTGTTTGACTTAGTAAAATGATTGTGTATTCGTAACAAAAAATTTGTCCACACTATGGAAAAATAATAATAAAAAAACAGTAATTTTATTTGTTAAGTTCAAACAAAAAATTAAAAATAAAAATTAAAAAATTATAGTTTATTTATATACAACAGATATGTCGGGCTATTTCGTAACCGCAAAAAAAACAAATATTTTTCAAATCATATTTTGTTCAAATTATATTTTTTTATTCTATAAACTCTAACAGTTATAATTTCATTTAACTGATTATTTCCAACCCATTCTTCTTCCACGAAATTTTCTGATTGAATACTCATTCATGAGTACAGCAAACTTTAGAGATTACAACTATTTTCTGGGAAAAAAGTTTATTTGAGTTAATCTTTAAAAGTTCCACAACGTCTTTACTTCTTAGCTTCAACAGCATTTCAACTCTTTAACCAAGGTGCAGTGCCCTCTCATTTTTGCTTACCAAAATAATACTCTCATTTTATATGTATTTGACATCGAAAAATTGCGTAGGAAATGTTGTCAGAGTGATATTTTTACAATTGAAATAAAAAATTTTGACTTAAATAATCTCTAACTGATATATTGTTTTATAAGATCCGACAGCGGATACTCAGAATAGGCAAGTACGAGTAGTAGCTATTCAAAGCAGAAAATATTACAGATAATTATAATTGAGTGAAAACTGCTTACTTTAAACTAGATCTAACGCTAGATTTTTTGATAAGTGTATTCCTTTTGATTGAAATAATAATTTATTATTTTATTAGAAGTTTAGACTTTTAAATAACATAAGTCATAAAGAAATGTTAATTTTTAAAATTTTTTGTGATCTCTCCAAACAATCGATCAGCTTCTGCCTTAAATTTCTTGAAATTTTCACTGTCTTGGAATTCGCTGAACTGAAAAAGATTCTATTAAAAACTGTTGGTATCACATTTTTCAGATTTCCGTCATACCTGTTGCCTAGCTTCGCCGATCTTCTGATCAAATGTTTTTGCAATGTCTTTTCCTTGTTCCTTTATTTTGTTGTTGAGTTCTTCTTCATTTTTCACTTCGAAGACCTTAAAGACAGCGTCTTTCAATTTCTGGATATTTTCATCAACCGATTGAAAAATATCACTGGCAACATTCTCTTCCTTTGGAGCCTCACGAATCACGCGTGCAGAAACGATCTTTAATGAACATTAAATATTTTTAAAAGTCTTATTAATCAGGAAACTTATTGCATTTTACCGACAACAGTGCCAAAACAACAACTAGTGAGAGTTTAGCAGACATGATTCTTTCGAAAATCTAGAAATTAGCTTTATGAATGTTGCAAAAAGACTAAATTTCATTTGAAATCGTCGAGATTTTATATCTGAAACGGAATGCTGCAATCACCTGATAATATTGAGAATCCCCTAATGACATGAACCACATTCACACATTGATAATATATGGTACATAAAAGTTCTTATCAAATTCATATTCAAACACATTGCAATTACTGTACTGTCGGTTTATGCATTCATGTGTCAATTTATTGATATTTATATACCAACAAACACAAGTACATAAGAAACTTAATACAATAAAATTTATACATATGTGAATTCAATTTGAACATTAACTGATGCTCTCATACTAAAAAGAAAAAGACTTCATATCAGCGCCGGAATTACATAGAATGGAGCAGAGCATCAGTCGAATAGAAACTCGGAAGCATTTTTATTCATTTCACTAATCGTCACTATATGGCCACTATATACAATATAATATACAATATAATATACTGTATATATATACTGTATATAATCTATAAAGTTTGGCTAAACTACGAATAAATGAAAAGGAAATCAGGGCAAATTTTTTTTCAAAAATAATTTTTGTGCCGTAATTCCGTAATTAATTTCATTTTTTTCCATCGGAATGGGTCAATGTCTTCAACATATTTAAATAATTGCACGCTTATGTATTCGTATGTCTAATGTCCCTTCAGTTAAATGCTGAAAACTGAAAGCGACCGAAGAAAGTATGAAGTCTGAAATTATTTGCAATTACAAAGAAAGTCTTGATACAATCATATTGTGATATAATTATTAACCATATAAACGAAGAGTGAAAACTAATACCGGGTTTGCCCTCACGGCTTGTTTTTCCCTGCATGTGAGGGGAAACCTGAAATAGTGTTTAAAAGAGAATACAATTCCGAGATACTTCAGTTAATCAACAAGCCGAATCGGGGAGAGATCAATTTGTGGTTCAATGAGGAAGGTGTGACAACTTCTGACGTGGTCATTAATATAGCGATAAAGTTTAATATAATCTTCTAAAGTTTATAGTACTAGCAGAATATACTAAGGTAAATATCGAGAACCTTTAGAGATCCTATGAGAATTTCCAGATTTCATCTAAGTTAGGCAAAACAAAATTGTTTGATTTCAGCGGACAGGGCAGGGATGTTAGAAGTGAAAAGATTGAATAGCAAAAAGGCATAAGACAAGTCGAAACCGTCACGATCCTGAAAGAGTACATAGAATTTTGGCGAAATAAAGTTAAAAAAGCTGAAAAATTAACCCCTATTAGTACATGTATCGAAAGCATTTTCTATATCAAAAATAACTACAACTATCGATTGCTTTTAATAGAAGATTACACAGGTGTCACACTGGAAGTGATGCAGAGTATTGGTAATTAATGTGCTGTTTGCAAAATCAAACTGAAAGACAATATTTGCAATTTATTACTACGTTGTAATTTAAAAAGCTACCTTCTAACATATTCCCACTGCAGCTACAACTACAACTACAACTACAACTACTTATGTTAATCAAATCAAGATTTATTCGTTTCCGTTGGCATAAGTTGATTTATACATATGAAAGAGCTGTATATGTCAGAAAGTTCGAGGAGAGCTTTTGTTTGTTCACTTTTCAGGTGATATCTAACTGAAATGAATTTTTTTCATTAAATAATATATGATATTATATAATGATATCAAATATGTATATATTTTTTATATATCAATAACATAATTTATTTATAAAAAACAGACATTTTAAAAAAAGCTTAGTTCTTGCTTATTTGATTCGTTTGTTTTTTGTTTATTTACATTTTGTTTCATGGGTTAAATACATATGTCAAATTTCGACCATTTCCTTTTTGGGAAATATATTTTAAAATGTTACATTCGACATTGTTCGTGTAATTTCCCTTCATTTCCTCTTAACTAAGTTAAAAAGCACGAAATCTCTTTGTATGCCGGCCTTAATCAAATAAACTGTTTTATAAGGAAGGCAGTGGGAACATACTATTAAACTTTATCTTTTTACAAAAAAAAAGAATAAATTTAAAATACTTCTTTTATTAAATTAGACAATAGCCGATATGAATGAATCATATTAGACCATACTAAAGAAAATTTAAAAAGTTGTTTGGACACAAGTTTTCTATATTTTGAATGGATCATAATGCGAATCATTTAAAAGTTAGATATCGTTATAATAAATAGACAAACAAATTAACAGATGTTAAATTAATAACATACTAAATTAAACACTTGTCCCACTCTTTGAGATTGAATTTGTATTGACTTATCGGAGGTAAAAATTCAATAAGTGATTAACAAATTTACCTTAATGGTGCTCATATTAAGATTTGTGTGGAATTTTATATTTTACACGTAAAATAAAATTTTTCTCTTATTAATTTTAGGTAAATATTTGCCGAGTTTCACCTGTTCACCAAATCTTTAATAATGCAAACATTTGTTGTATCAATATTTGCGAAATTTTGATCAAAAACTCACGCTATATTTGGGAACACACAACAGATCCCTTAAAATGGGTACACATACATTGTGCTGAACCACAATGTAAAAGTTCTTCTAATTATCGCATATGCAAGTTTTTGTCTCATATGGAGTACTTCTCATTGTTTTTAGAAACAATAGAACGTGTTTTTAATTCGGTAGAATTTATAAACTATATATTTCCTATATAAAATAATTTGAAAAGCACTATTAGCAACGATCCTAGTCGAATCTTGGTCTCCCTAAGCAATTTTATACAACTATGCAAATGCGTGCCATATGCATCAACAGGGCAGTCACCAATACAGCATTTTACGTCTAGTATATGCAAAACTACATTAGGCATAAGCGAAAAAAATAGAAAACTCCATTTATTTCATAGGTCCACAGTAGTAAATTTTATATCTTAAGTCAATTTACAAACGGCATTTACATTAGATTTGATCTAGATGACATTAGTCAACTTATAACCCTATTTACGGGAGCTAGCCAGATCAAAAATCATATATATCAACAGCAACATACACCAGGCGAAACAATGCCGCAGAATAGCAGTAAATCCGTGAACCTTCTTGAGGATAATCAAAACCAAGCCTTTGACTCACACCACGTGAACTTTTTTCACTACCTCCATATTAGCTGAACACAAAGATTTTAGAGAAGAATAATGTTATATACGTAGCCCAGTGTCTACCCACAATACATCTCTGTGGGTTTACAAGTGCAATACCGTTCGTTTCGATATTTTGTTTGTTACTAATCTTGTTTTTGGTCGTCAGGTTTGTGACTCGTTTAGCGATGAATACATACGTATATATACACCAATACAGAACACAACAATGTCGTCGTTATCGCTTTATTGAAGAATTATTAAAAAAGACAAACTAATCGCAACAATAAATGCCTAATGCAATGAAGTGAATGTCTAATTCGTGCTTAAATTTATATAATGTGTTTGTAGATTAAATATATTGTTTTGCAAATATGAACTCCATGCACCCGTACTTGCCAATAAACTTCCTTTCTTTAAGCTTTTCTTAAACGCAGACATTTAAGTTATGAATTGCAGTTCCAATACATTTGACTTATATTTGTTTAAACTAATAAAATTGTTCTATCTAGAGATTTTATTTCATCACTCGCAGTAGGTTTTGATGAACTCTACATAATCAAACATTGTTCGAATTTCAAAATCTCGACTCTACCAAATGGATATCACCTAGATAGTAATAGTACTATCTAGTAATTAATTGTAATAATAGTACTATAATACTATTACTACCTAGTAATCAGTAGTAATAATAGTAATAGCGTAGTAAATATTTTTATATTAAATTGAATATAATGTAAACTATCCAAAAATTATTGCGATTTTCATAGGGGATTAGTTATAGGATTATTCTGCGTCTTCACTAGAGTTTGTCATATCTTATTTAATATTTATCGCCATTAAGACCTTTGAAAATCGGTAAATATCATTTAAACCGAAACCGAAATGGGCCACCATTGTTTAAGAATGCTTATATTTTTGTTGCACATTCAGATAAGCTTCTCCTTCATCGAGCTAAGGTTTTTAGTTCAAATAATAGAATATTAGTTCTACGATCAAAACAGAACATAAAATTCACTAAAAACAACTGAAATCACTTGTATACATAAGCAAATATATATTTTATTATAATTTCATACATCAAAATCAGTAATTAATTATTTTTTTTGAAACTGTTTGTGAACTCTGTAGCAATTTCCTCAGCCTTTGTTATGAAATTCTTAAAAGCATCACTATTCTTAAATTCGTCAAACTAAAAAAGATTCTTCTAAAAAGTCTTGCTAAAACATTTTTTAGATTTCTTTCATACCTGTTTATTGGCTTCCGCTACGTTGCCATCGAATGCAGTAGCTATATCATGTCCTTGAGCTTTTATTTTGTTATTGAATTCCTCTTCATTTTTCACACCATAAGCTTTGAAGATTGCCTCTTGCAAACTGCTAAATTGTGTTCCAATTGATTGAACAGCATCAGAGAAAACCTTATTCTCATCTGGGGCCTGACGAATTACTCGTGCAGACACAATCTTTAACGAATATTAAATCTGTTAAACACCTGTCAAATATAGTATTTTTGAAAAGTTTACCGAAAATAAAGCCAATATAACAAACAGAGATAGTTTTACAGACATTTCCGTTTTAAAAATTCAGGAATTGGCTTCACCAAATTTATTAAAAGACTAAAATTTATTTAATTTTGTTGAGTTTATATATCTGACGCAGAAATCTGTAAGAGCCCCATATATTAAAAATCTCTTTTAATGAAATTAACTGCTTCGAAATATGTCAGAAATATTGTTTAAATTTATGTTCTCATCAATATTGTCCATATTTTGGGCTTTAAATTACTAATACACGCAAATATATCAATGCTCGCGCCACAAAAGGCTTTGAAGCGATATATTGACAAGCTTAAAATATATATTAACGTATTAACGTTCCCCTATCAAAAAAAAAAAAAAAACAAACAAAACAATTAATAGTCCAACAGTCAAGGTTTGGATTTCAGAATAATCACAAATATTTGGTTTTAGATTCTTCGATCGCATGAGCGGAGTTAAAAATATTTAAATATTTTAATATGAATACAAAAAAAATGGACCGGATATTTTTTCACTTAAATATATATAACAATGATATCTGTATATACCACAAAAATTTGGTATAATTTCGGTGAAATTTAATAATTGAATAAAAAATAAATTTGTTAAATTTAATTTAACAATAACCTAAAACTTTAACTTTAAAATAAAGAAATAAATAGTAATACTGTCATTAATAGATCGATAGAACAGGCATTTTATTTGCAAAATAGGACGTATAGCCTTGCCAACATATATATCAAATATTTTATATATACGAGTAACTCCATATGTAAACTTACATACCGAATTCAGAGGTATTTTGTTTGGAGCACAGTTCCAATAAAGTACAGAACACTGAAAGACATATGTATATATATATGTATGAAATCCAATAAATCCAATATTATATTATTTTATGAGTATATGAGTTTATAAATTAACATGAGAACTGTACAGTTTATACAGTTATTTATTGATTAGTCTAAATTCAAAATATAGAGTCTTTAACCGGATTCATTTAAACTCCATCCCCTCTTACAAAAAATATTAATTCTGCCATAGCTATAAAAACAACGAAACAGTACACAAGCTTGTAAATTGATAAGAAAAAAATTGGCTTTCAAATAGATTGAGCCAATAAATAGACAGACATATATATGTGCGTCTTTAGATGAAACGATTTTGATAATAGTTTTCCACTCAAGCTCCACTTCGTGTCCGGTAAAACGCTTAAAAATTATTTCTCTTGCTTATTAGAAGGTCAAAAAAGTATGAGGGGAATTTTGTTGTGAAAATTATTGTAAATTAAAATATAGATTATTTATTCGGAATATTTTTAAAAAATTTATTTTTTTATTGTGAAAGTTTTTTGACAAAATCTTTAACATAAATTGTGAAATTTTTTGACTTATTATTTGGTCTTCTTCGCTTCTTTGGCATTCAGTTCTTTAAGATCCTCTTCATATAATTCCCGCACCTTCGCCACAGCTTCCGGGTCTGTATAAAATGCTGCATACTAAGAGAAAAGGTTTTCATTTTATAACGTGAATTCGTATTTATAATTTAATAACTGAATATTAAAAGTTATAAAAACCTCTTCTTCCAAAGTTGTGTAGGCTTTAAGTAATTCGTCAAAATTATTACTTTTTTTACCAAAATCAAGAAAATGATCTACATATAATTTGCATTTCTTAAATGTTTCTTCTCTAATAGCTGCGTTTACGTTTTCTATCTTCGCCAACTGAAATAACTCATCCTCCAAAACCTTGCACCGGTCGACAATGGTATCAACGGTAAGTTTCCTACTTTCTTGAAAGGAAAAACTCTATGCAAATGAAAAATAAATTGTTTCAGTTTTCTTTAACATTATTTCTGGAAACACACCGCAAATAAAGTTAAAAGAAAAATTGGTAAATATTTCGTGAACATTTTATAGGTGCCGCTAACAAACAAATCTCTGAAAATATAAAACCCAACTGAAATAAAATTTAATATGATTCATATATATAGTTGAAGCTGTTTTAGCTCTGCTTGATTAATTTGACATTGTGGCATTGATTCCGCGATGCTTCAATTACAATGCTTTTTTTTACATTATGCAATTGCACACAGGCGAAAATGCATATTCGCTGTGTGTGTACACAATATGTGCAGCGCAGCATTTGCAGTTCCTTATCAGTGCCGAGATAGATGTTCTATCTTTCATAATAAATTCGTTCTGTTGAGTACCATATATGTAAATATATTCCCAGACAATATATTAGACTTGCCTATGTGCTACGTAGCACATAGAATATGATAAACATAGAAAGCGCAAAAAAGCAAGATTTTCAAGAAAATGTTCCTAGGATTATCAAATTTCATTATCATTATCTATTATCCCACCAAATAATGGTGAACTTTCTAATAACTCAGTCTTTTATTTAGTTGGATTATTTCAACAAATATTTGTTGAAATTTGTTTCATTCAACCATACAAACAGACAAAATTAAAACTATTGATCGAAATATATATAATACTAGCTGACCCGGCGAACGTTGTTTCCCCTTGCAATTAATTTTCCTGGCGTTCGTTGCGTTGTTCTTGACGTGTAAGCACGTGTAATTGTATCCTGGTTTCTTACATCTTCATTGTTTTCTGCCGATCTATTTAACCGACGGTTCTGGAGTAATTGTGAATTCCGAGTCCGTCGACCAATATTTCCTCCTCGTCCACGAAGACGTGGCATTGTTTTTTGTACGATTTATATATCTTTATATATATAATTCTTCTTTTTTATGTGTTGAATTTTTGAATTCGCTGGATTTACCAGGAATACCACCACATAACTTAAGATTAAAAATTGGCTCACCTATAATTATGCTGCGGAATTTAAATGCACTTAAGCTATGTAACGGCAGTTTTACGATTCATTTTAGAGATTTTAAACTTTTTAAAGAAATCAAAGTAAGCATAAATAAATTTTAAATTTTTAATATAAATGTATATGTATTATGCATCTGAAAATAATTTCTTAAAAGTTATAAGTTTGATAAGGAATTATTTGTTGCTTAAACTGTACTCCAGAATAGAATAACACCGATGTGTTTAAAAATGATTTATCCCCAAAATAGATTTATTACTTTTCTTAAAAATAAAAAATCAACATTTTTTAGTTTCAAAAAATAGGTAAATAAATAAATATAATATATGATATAGAGTCACACAATAATCATTAGCATACTGATGCTTATTGTTAAGTCTCTTATTTTAGTGTTAATCTTAATTCATTAATTTAATATTAATTCATTTTTATTATAAATGATGTTTAATTATAACTAATATTATAGTGATCTAAGTACGTTGTTTTCAGCAGAAAAAGTAAATTAGAGTATAATACAAAATATTAGGATTAGGATTATTAGGTTGCGTAATACGTAGTTGTCCAATTGTCTGCAATAAAACTGTCCGCGGACCGTTCGTAGACAGTGACCGGAATTCGTAGCATTGCAAAACAATTACAAAAACAATAACACAAACTATTTCGATTAAACAAACCACAAAACTAGAAGTGACGCTCAGAAAAACAATACAGCCTAGGATTGAGACTAATACCAGGAGGAGAGAAACTGAAAGCTGTAAGATAAAGAAAACTACTAAAATTAATTCCAAATAACAATCTCTCCCACCTGATAACTGGAGGAAAAACATTTTGTTTCATTGTCACTCATATATTACCAGACTGAATTAACTTTTGTGTTCATAAAAGCGTCAAACCTTTTTAACCTAAATTGTGCAAAGTGCGATCTGGTAATCTTCACATGGTCACCGCAAATTCGTCAGGGCTTATATTAGGCTTAAACCATTGAGTAAAAATATTATAGAGTCCCAATGCCATAGAAATGAAGTGTGGACTTATTACTAGGTCCACAAATCACTCAAATCTCTGCCGACGTCGCTTCAGTCGTTTTTGCTTCATAGCAAGGAAATTTTGCTATATTCTCTGCTTCATACCTAGGGTCAAGGAATGTTTATATTTCTTTTTTTGCTCCTTTTGCTCTTTGAGATGTTGTTATTGCTTCCTTGAATTATAATGTAAGTAGTAAAAAGAATTATTCTCTATTTTATATTCATTCATGCCTACTTACTTTGTGTTTAAATATGAACATATGGACATATTTTTATACCTATGACATATCGGGGGGAAGAGATATTAAAATTTTATTTGCAGCATTGAAACAATTTTTCATAATTTTTTTTTTTTTATTGCTACAACTATTTACATTATAAATAACGAGTAACTTAAATCTGATAAATAATATACAAACATAAATAAGCAATTTTCTACACAAATTACTTTACATTCTAATTCAATGCCATGTCAGCGACATTTCGTCGTTTTAGTCTTCTTTCTTGTCCATACGAGGTTATGATGTTAACAGCTTCTATGTTGACATGTTGCTGCAACCTCAATTTGTGACTTGTTGCTTTCTTTTTTATTTCTTCAGCGACTATGGATAATTTCAGATCGCGGTGTATATCGCTGTTCCTAATGTACCATGGCGCTTTTAAAATGTTCCGTAGAACCTTGTTCTGGAAACGTTGGATTATTTCGACGTTACTTTGGCTAACGCTCCCCCATAATTCAGCGCCATACGACCATACAGGTTTTAAAATTTGATTGTATAGCAAAATCTTGTTTTGCATAGATAGTGTGGATTTGCGGCCAATGAGCCATTCCATTCTTCGCAACTTCATATCAAGCTCGTCTCGTTTCTTTTTTATGTGTTCCTTCCATCGAAGTTTTGCGTCCAACGTTATACCAAGATATTTTGCAGTGTTGGCATATGGTATCTGAATACCTTGAATCGAAATAGGAAAGTACTATATTTTTTTATTTGTAAAATCCACATGAACAGATTTAGCAGAATTCAGTTTGTTACGCTATATTTTTGTCCAATTGTCTAACGAATCTGTTTGTAGCTGTTTGTAATTTGGCTTTTGATTTTTGACAACAGAGTCAGCCATCGCCAAAATAGCAGTATCATCAGCAAATGTTGCAATTTTAGATTCAGGTGTTATTGGCAAGTCCATTGTATAAAGCAGGTATAGTAGTGGACCAAGTACACTCCCCTGAGGTACACCAGCTTTTATCGCAGAAAGATGTGAATAACAGTTTTCGTGTTTTACATAAAAAAACCTAGAGGTAATGTAAGACTTCAAAATCGCAAAATATGGCGACGGCAAACATGTTTCTAGTTTATTCAAAAGACCTTTGTGCCAGACTTTGTCGACATCGAAGAATACAACAGAACACACATTTTTACCTTCACTAGCCCTTTCAATTACATCAACAATGCGGTGTACTTGATCTATAGTCGAATGCTTACTACGAAAACCAAATTGATGGTTTGGTATTAGCTTTTCGGATTCTATTATAGGCATTAGTCTCTTGTAGAATAGCTTTTTAAAGAGCTTCATAATTTTTCATAATGATAGCATTTGTTTTTGTAATTAGTTGTTATTACGTATGGATTTTCAATTTTATCGTATTTACATAATAAGTATATTAAATCTTAGCAAGTAATACAATCATAAGAATATGTTACATATGTACATATGTATATAAAATATTTACCAATAATTGGTAAAACATTTTTTAAAAATAGTATGCTTTATGGTTACTAGATCGACCTATATCGTTAATTAAATAGAAGTGACAATTTTTATGTTACTAGTTGCGCTCTAATTTCCAGACCACCTTTGAGGTAAAATGCATGGCTCGTATTTTTTTACATGGTGTCCCCAGGAGGCCTAGTCCATAATAACGAAGAGATATGTTATTTAGTTTATAGCATAGGTTAATTTTTGTTTTTCTAGTATTCGCAATTTTGTTTTTAAAAAAAATATAGAAAAGAAAATTTATTTACTATTTAAAATTTTTTTTTATTATTCGTTCTCTATTTCGACTAGTTTATAATCGTCCTCAAGAACTTGAGGAACTATAATTTTTTATATTAATATACATAAATATTTTGGACAAAAGGAATTTTTACATATAAATGATAAAGAAATACATAATCACACATAAATAATTGGAAAATAGAATGATAAAAAAGAAGATAGAAAGCAACCGGCATACCATAAAAGGTATTTTCCGAATATACTCCTAAACCTACCTAAAATCCTACCACAACAAGGGCCAATGACAAAACGACAACACACAACGAATAGAAGAATACCACCACCAATATGAGAACACATTTGTTAGATCTTGCCGTTATTAGATATATATATGATACATATATATGATATATGATACTGTTTGAAATATTAATGTATATTGATACAAAAAATTATAAATTGATCAATATCCTGTGGATAACCATAAATAATAGCAGAAGTAAAGGATGAATTTCTTTATATAGTTCATTACAATCCCGTCGACTTGCAACGTAGAAGAGTATGGATTTATGGAATACAGGATACAGGAGTCAAATATTTTGCTTCAAATGTTCCCAAAAATTGGACCCAAAAATATTCATAGTCTACCAAATAAAAGTACATAAGTTTATAAATATACATTTATACACATACATATATATACATATATGTTTCTCTTATTTGCATAATGAAGTTATATTAAATGCATGCAATTTGTACGTGCTGCTTGCTGCTGCCTAGCATTAATTACAAAAACAAATAATTACACCAAAAACAAATTTGACTTCTTTTCTTGTACGGCCTGCCTATGTAAACAAACAAGCCGGTTTTTTGCATTTATTTTTATCCTCAAATCGTTGATAGTAAAATTTTTAGAAAGAACAAACATAGGCGCAGCCGATCTAGTAACAGCGCAGAAAGAAAGAATATTTTCACTCCGCCCACCCGTGCCTGTTGCTGAAAATTTTATAATTGAGTCATTGTGCCTCTATAATAATTTCACTCAATGCTTAAACTAAAAGGCACGTCTACGTCGTGATTGAAATAGTAATACACAAGGTACCCAGAAGAT